CGCAATTTTAATTTACGCATAAATACCAGAGGTCAGAGGTTATTGGCCCCAATTTTGGGGCCAATGACCCGAGGTCAACTGTCTGCGCATGCGCACTGATACAACTGTAAACTGGTGTATTGCAAACTAGTTTTATTTTTGGATGGAAAAGCAGCCATTGTTATCTTGACATTCATTGAAGTAATCAGAATAGGGTAAGTTACTTCTCAGATGATTCAAGAGGTCCATTTTGTAGATAATTTTTTAATTTCTTAGAATGTTCTACTGTGTTGCAGGGTACCGGGTGTATGCTATTGGATGTGATGTGTTCGCGCGCTATATGCAACCTATTTTGAAAAATTACGGTGGGTGAACTTTCAAAAGTCAATGAGACATGAGGGCTCCAATGAAAGATCTAGTGATAACGTACGTCGGGGTGGATGTGCTTTTCGTTTAAACAAAAAATGAATTTTTAACGATTTTTTAAAAAAACGTCCAGAGGCTAACATGTTAGGCTGCTGACTCTGACCGTGCTCTGACGCGAAAAGGGGGCGTTGTGAAATGAGACTAAACGGAGCAATATGGGTGAACTTTCAAAAGTCAATGGGACATGAGGGTTCCAATGAAAGAGTTATAAGTGTCAACGTACGTCGCGGTGGATGTACTTTTCGTTTAAACAAAAATTGAATTTTTACGATTTTTTGTTGTTGTAAAAGTCAATAGGCTAACAAGTTTATAGTCTGCTGGACTCTGACGATAGGGGGCGTTGTTAAATGAGACTAAACGGAGCTATATGCTTATCAAATATCTTTTCTGTCTTCCGTTATGAGAATGTGCTTATAACCCCATCAGGATTGGCGTTTTCCTCTTTATAAGATGTAATTTTTGTTTTGGTGCCCCCCCCCCCTACTTTGAAAGTCGCTTCGCTGTCTCTGGCCAGGTTATATTCATGTCTGAAACCAATGCTATTGTTATATCTTTATCTTTTGTAACGTTGTAATGAACATTATGTACGCAATCTTTGTATCATGATTGGTAATCACTATGTTTACTGCTATTAGTGCTATGAATATAAATGTTATTGTTATCTGACTAGTGTTCTGTAAAAGCGCTTAATATAACATACATTATTGAGACACTAAATGAATACAGCTTCATTTCAAATTATGAAGCTGCTTGATCAAAATCTAATCGAAAATCACCGTAGCTGACGGACTGGAAACAAGGCTCACTGAAAATATGAAATAAGAAAATCCCCGGAAAAAAAGTTTGAGACGGCCACATAAGGCCTAAAAAAAAGATGTTGCATTGCCCTTTTGTTACCGTTTTTTATAGAAAAAACGAAATATCAGCCCAAAGAAGGAGTAATTTTTTTTTTTTAAATCCGACCAACCGACCCATTTATTGGCACCTAAAGGGCAATATAACATCTTTCTTTTAAAGACCTGTAACAGCTCGGACACTAACACGATGCACGACAGATACGATATAGCGTATATTAACTTGCATTTAAAAACGATACAAACCAATAATGAAATGTTGTTGACTATGCCTTCATCATCTTCACTGAAACGAACCAAACACCGATAGAACAATGTTTGTTGCCCATGTCAATTCAGAGGCGGCCCTCCCGGGGGGCAGGGGGCTAACAATGCCCCCCACTCTTCAAGTACCCTAAAAGTGCCCCATTTTACAAGGGAAAAGTGCCCCTTTTCCATTATAAAAATGCCCCTCCCCCTTTTTACCTATGATAAGTGCCTTTATCAATCTCTAGTAAACAGAGGCAGTGGAGCGACTTTCAAAGTGGGAGGCACCAATAAAAAAGGATACTTTCTGGAGAAAAAAAGGGGCGCCTTCAAAGGGATTTCCTCAAAGTGAAATATACAAAAAAAAATAGACATTGGTATATACCCCATATATTTTAATTACATTATCAGAGATGATTTCAATATTTGTTTCTCTTTTTACATCATATAAGATATTGCTTAAGCATCATACTTTGCAGTTGGGTATGATGGTCTGAACATTTTAAAGATTTATGAGGTTGCAGTGCGAAAAATTACATCTTATAAAGAGGAAAAACCCAATCCTGGTGGGGTTATTTAGCACATTCTCATAACGGAAGACTAAAAAGACCTTTGATAAGTTACATAATTATAACATCTAGACTATAACTACGAGCGAGCGTAGCAAGCGAGCTTTGTGGGGAAATTGCTTTTAGTCGATTGAAATTAGGGGCACGTTTGATGATGAGAGGAGAAGGGGACACTTATCAAAAGGGTTAAGACACTTATTAGAAAAGAAAAGGGGCACGTGTCAAAGTACAAAGGCTAATTATCAGAGGTGAAAATGGGGCACTTCTTACACCTAAGAAAAAGAGGCACGCACCTTGTTGTTTATTCATCTTTATTCAAGAAAGTACATGTAACATAGTAATAAAGATGTTACATAAAACCAAGGACCGAGATTTGAATTACATTGGATGCATTTCATGCAGGGTTAAACAATTACAATACACAATAACAGAACGGAAAAGAGAATATCATAACGTCAGTTTTAAAAAAAATGAAAACATTGATAATTCCGAACAAAAAAACGAAAACAAAAATTATTATTTTCTCAGTTAGGAATACCTCACTATACATTTATATACCGTGGTCATATCTATCAATCTCTTCTTTAAAAAGGGAACTAAAACCTTCGTACTAAGTTACCTTTATTGTAAATTTTAAAAGATTTGAATGGAATCAGTGAAACTTTGAACCAAATCAGGCAAGGAATAAAGAAGTTAAAGCTTTTTGAAATAACGACATTTAAGTTCATTTATGGACAACTCTCCATACCCTCCGACCATGGAATTTCACAATTTTTTTCGTATTCATTCATGTTTCCTCAGAAATTAAGAAATTCTTGTAATAATTTTATTATGTGCAAAGTTTATTTGTATAGTTTATTTAAAAAATGAATTATGTATGAAATCAAATGTAATATCTTTGTTTACCTTTCTGTTGGAAATGAAATAAATATGAATATGAATATGAATAATATGAATGTTCAGGATCCCATTCATAAAATAAGAAGTTGAATATCATTTTGCATTCTGTACCTTGCTTTCAGGGGAGTTGATTATCTCAATCACAAGAAAGTGGTAAAATCATGAAATTTGAAGTTGTCCATAAATGATGTCACCATATCAAATATCGCCCTCTAGTGACAAGTTATTTAAAAAAGCTTTAACTTCCTTATTCCCTGCCGGATTTTGTTCAAACTTTCACTGATTTTATTCAAATATCTTGAACTTTAAAATAAACGTATTTTAGTATGTCTGTTTTGGTTCCCTTTAATGAGTAATCAGCCAGGGGAACCTATCTCCATAGAAAGAGAGTTGAAGAGAGGGAGAGGGAGAAGGAGAGAGAAAGAGATAAAATAAGAAGTTGAATATCATTTTGCATTCTGTACCTTGCTTTCAGGGGAGTTGATTATCTCAATCACAAGAAAGTGGTAAAATCATGAAATTTGAAGTTGTCCATAAATGATGTCACCATATCAAATATCGCCCTCTAGTGACAAGTTATTTTAAAAAGCTTTAACTTCCTTATTCCCTGCCGGATTTTGTTCAAACTTTCACTGATTTTATTCAAATATCTTGAACTTTAAAATAAACGTATTTTAGTATGTCTGTTTTGGTTCCCTTTAATGAGTAATCAGCCAGGGGAACCTATCTCCATAGAAAGAGAGTTGAAGAGAGGGAGAGGGAGAAGGAGAGAGAAAGAGAGAGAGAGACGAGAGAGAGGGAAAGGGAGGTCCCGTTATAACAAGTTATATGTGTCTCCTAATCTTAAGTAAATTCACCTCCAAGTGTTGTAGTGATTCCAAGTGAGTTCAGATGGGTGTAAACAAATAACATAAACCCACACAATATTCTTTTGAAATATTACTTTTCCTAATTACATAATGTGTCTGAATAAAGACCACTTCTCCCTCTATCTATTTCATTTCATTTCATTTTTATTTTTTTTTACTTCCAACAAAATACAATACATAATAACGAATACAATGTTAAATGTATACAAAACATAGTTACATTTGTAATAAACAAATTTTAATAATAATTTATACATTTTAGGAAAACAATAAAATGAACTTTAAAATTTAACTGCATTTATATTTTGAGGAAATGGAGAGGTCCACTGAAAAGCAAAGCTTGTAAATTGAATAATAATTTGACAATGTGTGTTTTGCGTGACTGCTAAAGCATGTGTATGCTACTATGCTTATCAACTAGGGGACCTACGCCCTTAAGTCATAAATGACAGTAATGAGGATTAATGCCCCACAAAAGGGCACTATATAGCACATCGACACGGTTTTGAACTTTGGGCCTCACAGTTACGAGGTCATTGATTTGTCACTGAACCATGACTGTACGCACCGGGGGCTAGGGTCGGGGGCAGTTTCCATAAAGAAAATAAAAAAACAGAAAATGCAATAAATTTTAAATAATTTTTTGCATTTTACCCCGGTCCCCAACATAAAAAAATCCTCTGGACGGCCATACATTATGGCTTCAAATCCCAAACAGTAAACCCAAATAGTACTCTCATATAGTACTTTCTAAAAATAGGCCAAACATGTGACGAGCTCTCAACCAATCAAAAGCCAACAATTTTTTGATGCAGGATATAATAAGTCCTGTGCCACCCCGCTTCCATGCAATGATGGACCCGCCACTGCTATGTTGGGCATGGGATCCGGATAAATTTCGAATGAAGAAAACAAAGATCACCAGACATATGAACTGTACACGATTGAAACATTATATTGCATTTTATCTTAAGCCTTTACAAACTCCGGGAGCACAATTAATTATATATTTTCTTTATTTTATATTTAGATCTAGATCTAGACTATATCATTTCCCCAAACCTAATCATCATAGCTAAAAACTCATAAATTTCACTTCTACTCAAAAACTAAACAGCGCCATCTCACGGTTGCTCGGCACCTAACCTCTTGTATACTATACCGTTGCCAGTGCACAGTGCATGCAGTGCATGCAGTACACTAGTTCAGTACGAGTCAAGTCAGCGAGATCTCCCACATCATTTCCCCGAGTGCACCCGCGCCAGTCATCATCAGTGAGGAGCGACGGTTTTGACTTTGTGTGATGTAAATATGCCAGAATTCATCACACTTTCTCCATATTCCGCGACAACTATTTCGTTTGTGCTGTACTGATTGTTCTAGTGCCAGTATTGGTAAGTTTATCAGAATATCACTGTTCTTTCAGTTTCAGCTAAAACTAAAAGACTAAAAGTAAAAGTAAAAATAATATGATCCGACCCTCAGTCTTTCAACTTTTATTTTCAAGTCATTCTTCACTGTTCTTCAAGTTCTTGCTTGCTTTCTTCACAATAAATAAAGAACCATTGCAGTGTGTGTGGCTGAGTATCATACTCAGTATGCATGAACAATTGACCAAGGACTGCCACATTCTCCATACATGTTTGATGAAATAATTCCAGTGACATTGTTGTTATTGTTGTTTTAGTTTTATTGGCGTGTAGACTATCATCCATTTATGAATATTAACAGATCTAGAACCTACAATACATCCTTTTAGTTTATGGTTAAGGCCGCCATTTTAATAAGCGCGTAATACATTGCGTCATCAATTCAATGTTTTTAGATGCGCATGTATTGTTGCCTCACTGCCTGGGATGTGCGATCACATCATATTAACATGGGAGCCATTTTAATTTACGGGTAAACAACTTTGTTATCGCTTTAATTAAAATGGCGTCCATGTTTGCGCATGCGCACACTTGGGACAGTAAAAGGGTGTATTGCTCCAGGCTGTAGCCTAGTGTAGAGTCCATTTTAATTTTTGTCAAACTTGCATTGCGTTTTAATAAAGAGCAATGAAACATGGAAATGTGGTAGTGCCATTTTGACATTGCAAAAGCAAAGGTTGCTAAAAGTTGAATTAACAGGTTAGAATTGTCCAGAAAAATGATAGGCTTTCGTAAATGATGCTCGAACGTTCTTGGTATCAACGTATTGGGAATGAGGTAAATATGCTATGGTACCATCGGACAGATGTGCGCATGACGTCGCGTGATCGGAAGTATGGCTAAGCAAACCGTAGTGCAGAGGGGGATATTTTGTGTTGGTTTCATGTTTCGTTTTATCAGAATCGTGCAGTTACGTATACATGGATGCGCAGACAAGGACACTAAGTAATTATTAACTATTTTGTACTTTCTTTTTACATGGTTAGCCTATAAAATGTTTGGTTATGTTTTTGAGATTGATTTTGTATATTTTAGCTGTATACATAATTGGGATCGTATCATCGTACCCGTTATTAAGTTAATTCTCCAAGCTCGGTTTTAAAACGTAATCTCTAGCATATAAGGAATAAGATCATGAGATCAAGCAATAAGGAGATTATAATACAAAAGTCTTGTCAATTTCAAGTGAAATGTTAGGTGCAGACATAATGTAGGGCTTTTCCTCCATACTTATCCCTCCTCTATAGATGCAAAATTTCCCCATTGCTGTTTTGATAAAATCTTAAGTCTTTAATAACTTTTGACAATGAGATTTGGGGTTTCATATTACTCATCAAACCGAGTTCAAAATTGGTGAAAGAGTCATTTTATTTGCGGTCTAGACAGAAATGTGATAAGTAGTGATATTAATGTCAAGCAAAGTTCAGATTCATGGGTTTGTACTGTGGTATCATCACCATGTATTGAGCAGAATGTACTGTAGATCCTTTTAATGGGTTAATGAAGTCCAATTTAATGTGTATCCTGTCATTCCTGTGAGAAAAACATAGATTAAAAGGAGAAGCTATGATTGAATATAGGCTGGTTTTGTACTTTGTATAAATTACGCCTCAGTTTTAAAGAAAAATTCACCTCTTTGAAGGGAACTGGGGAGGGGGGGGGGGGGGCAAGGGGTGCCAGTACATTTATTTCTTTGGTTTATAATAGAATGAAAAGACATGAAAAGGTCATCAATAAATGAAAGTGAATCTGTTTAAATTCAAAATTACCCCTCAGGAAGTCTTGCTTTTCTAGAAATTATACATACTGTACATGTACCGGTACATGTAAATATGAAGTTTCAACAAATCATTGTTCGGAGCCATAAGGGTGTTAATTATGCATTGCAGTACATGTATAAATATGAGTAATGCCTTTGTGGCTGTAAGCAGATGACTAAATATACATATACATGTACTTTTCCATCTCAAGGAGAATTAATACATGTACCGTACTGTTGACATATTTAAAGATAAACTTGAGTTCTGGTAAAAAAAGAAAACGAATTCTCACAGAATCAAACAAAACTTACAATGAATGTTCAAGATTACAAATAGATTTCATTTGCCGAACAATTTTGGTAGAAAATGTGTACTAGCTGAGTAATGAGCATAGAAAGATAAGGAAATCAAGGTTGGTAGCCCGACACCATTTGTGTAGTCCCATATACATCTTTCTGTAATAATAATAATAATAATAAAAACGTTACTTATAAAGCGCTTACCACCGAAGTCTCTAAGCGCTTTCTGTGTACAGTACTTGTTACTTTAGCAAGACTGTGCCAAACATATTATGATTTTGATGACTCCAGAACCTTGCAGTACACACCAATATTTACATGCTGCATGATCAACTTTTTTTGATCCATTCCACACCTTTTCTTTCACAATGCAATCGCATGACCAGAACTCAACTTTATCTTTAATCATTTGTTTTTTATTTTACTAAGAAAAATTACATTCTGATTGTTTCTTTTTTAATGAAATTTTCTTAAGGCAAGAACAATTTACAGCCAGAGCCAATCTTCACATGGAGTTGATCACTCCTACTTGTTAAGCATGTGGTTTTTATACCATTATGTTGAGGGACACCATCTAGTGTACATGCACGTTGCGCAGCATGCATGACAGTAATGTATACTGTCTACAAGGAGTAGTGACACTAATGTGTTTACAAGCGAGGATGTTCTCATGGTTTCCTATCATTTTTCTTCACTCTCTTAATTGGTTTTGTAAACATAAGAGGTACATGTAAATATAGACCCTCAACCTACATGTAATTACAGCAAGATTCGGTAATGAAAAATAGATGAAAAATGCCAAAGGTCAATAAATAAATCTCTTTAAAAAGAAGGTAGACTTCTGAAAGGGCCATTTAATATTCATAATCTGATTTTTTTTGGGGTACTAGATTAATACGACAACTAACAGAAGAGGATTTGATCAAAATGAAATATACATCTACACTACTACACTGTAATGTGTATTGGAATATTTTGAAATGAAAATAATGTATGATAAGTTGCACAACCATAACATTTTTTCGGTCATTCCATACTATACTTTACATTAACTTAAAATATATTGTGGTCAGGGGATCACCCTGCAACACATTTTTAGATTTTAATTTGTAATACTAATATTCTTTCAATTCATTTAAATAAATTTCTCATAAATTGTGACCAAGACGTTTCTGGTGGGGGGGGGGGGGGGGGGGGGGGGGGTTGACCAATGTTAGTTCCAGGGAGCTCTCCTTACAGTCATAATTATCTGAAAGCAAGACTGATGCAAGAAAATCCTCTAAATCCATCAAATCAGTAGGTGACTCTTTGGGATCAATATATTGTCCTCGGCTCGCTCTGTTTATTTTGGTGTGAAGTGAAATCCATACGCTGGAGATGACATCATCGCTCGTACTCTGTCTCAAACTTGAATTAATGAGCCCCAATCAAATGTCCTTGAAAGTGGGTCTTCTCTCTATCTTCTGCCTTTGCCTTTCTGTACCTGCTGCGTTCTCATTTACATTTAGCAGGCCACCAGGCCTGATAAAAACCCGATTTAAATCGGTTTCTTGATTTTATTTTTTTCCCCGATTTTTTTTCTTCTTCCCGATTTAAAAAAAAAAAAAAAAAAAAACAGATTTTTTTTCTCCTTCCCTCTTCTATCCTAATTTTACCGATTTCCCTGTTATTTTCTCTAATCTTCCCTATTTTGCCCTATTTTTTCCCCAATTTTCTTACTCGAAAGGGGGGAATGTTGTTAGATGCCATTTTTTCCCCGCGAATCCTCTTCTCCCCGCGAATCCTCTTCTCTTTTTTTTTACTCAAGGGGGGCGTGGTTGAGGGGAAAACAAAAATTTTTTTTTGTTAGTACTCACTATCACCCCTGATTTAGAGTTTTAGACATGGACTCATCCCTGTTTCTGTTCATGTGCATTGGACTTTGCCTTTTTAGGCCTACTGCATTCACACTTTCTTCTTACCTGGTTGCCAACATGAATTAGTGAGCCCTTGCACCAATCAAAGTTTCCAGGAAAGAAGATCTTCAATAGGTATAGGTATAGGTATAGGTTTCTAGGTACACTGCATTCACATTTTTGCTCTTACTCAATATCCGATCGTAGTTTACTCTCACTTCATTTTTTATTTACTCGGTCACTCTGTTCTTTGGTTGTACAAATTCATATTGAGAGAAATGTTCATAATGTGGTAAGTTAGTTGTGTAAAACAACAAGTACAAACAAATAAACAAATAAAATTTGTAATAGAAATCACGGCACATATGCACAAATATTTGTATAAAGATGTTAGACCTCATCAATACCAAAACTCAGATTATCATCAATTATTTAAGCATAATATGCCTTTATCTAGAGGCCAGGGGTTAAAGCTCATTTTCATCTTGTATTTTAAAGGAAGAAAGTCTAAACCCAAACAAATCTTTGACCATTGAGCATCAGAGGTACATTTGTAAAGTATACTGTATAAACTGTATACCAAAATCAAAATGAACTTTGTCAAAGATAAACACATTCATGAAAATAAAAAATAAACATCAAATAAACATGGCTATGTCCATCCTCACTTTTAGTGTATTCCAATTGATATAGATTGAGTTAGGCATTTATCATTGATGAATTTCACGAGCATGAGAGTGAAGTTAATTACTCTATGAGTCATGGTCGTGTAGTCAGGGCTGTATGTAACACCTACCGACTGTAGAGTAGCAGTAGATGAGGATCTATATACTAGTGACTGACATCAATTTATGGGAAGGGAGGAGAAAGTTCAGGTGGGGGAAGGGATTTTTTTTGCACATGTACAGGATGACAATGGGGTGACTTTTGGTTATGAATGAAAAAATTACTCCTTTTTTCCTTCATAGCAATTACATTTTCCCATTTTGAAATTAAGAAATATCTGATACCCTGTACATGTATGTGTATTGTGTACTGCTAAAAGTGACTGTATTTTAGGATTTTACTGAGTTATTTTTTTATTATGAATTAATTTATTTTCAGACATTACGCTTTTCTTTAAAAGTATTATTATTGAAATTTGTGTCTTGATTTCTTTCTTCGGTAACATCTTTTATTAACATTGTCCAGTATGGTGGGAGTTCCTTTGGGAGAATCTTGCAGATTTCATTATTTATGCTGTCCCTTTTTTTGTTGTTGGCAACATGTATACATGTACGTTTTATTTTTTTCTCACTTTGGAGATACATGTATGTTTGTGGTATTTAATGAGGAGGAGCTTTGATGGATGGAGAAAGATGACCAGGGCCCCGTTTCATTAAACTTGTTATCAATAACAAGTTACAATAAGTGTTATAAGCTACTGAAATTATGGCATTTGATTGGCTGAGAGCACATTTATCATAGAAATTTAGCATTTGTTATTGATAACAAGTTTTATGAAACAGGGTCCAGATCCATGAAGATGCAGATGATATCCATTACTGAGGATAGATGAGAAGGAAAAGGATGTTGGATGGGGGGGGGGGGGGGGGGGGGTGAGTACATGTATGACTGAAATCTGCGACTGTAAATCATAAGATCTACTTATTGCTTTAATTGAGTTCATTATCATGTTATAATCATTTTATAAGGAGAGGTGGATTCTCATTCATGACGCTCTTGTTCCAAGTTATCCCATTGATTACTGAATCCTCACATTCCCATATGCTTAATACACAGGAACCACCCGGTTCCCATATTCAATGGGTTAATATTAATGTCCATGTTGTAGATGAAGACTCACAATGTACATCTAAATATTTAAAAGAGAAGACTCACTGTTTTAAGATGAGAGGAACATCCAACATTAGAAATAGGAATAGTGGAATAAACAACAACAGCAAAGATTTAAAAGGAGAGTAAATAGAATGTTTTTTGGAGAAAAAATATGAGAATGATCTTAGTGACTGACTAACACTAACATGAAGCAGTAACACTAAGAAGGAGAGAGGTGTTATGAGAACACATTTGATGGTGTTTGTTGGGAAGAAACAGAGGATGTCTAGGGCTGCTAGTCGATCCTATTCTTTGGTGATTTGTAGTCCTGTCAGGATAGGTGCTTAAAACAAAAATTAAGACTCTCAAAATTAAAGCCAGACTGCACGCCAGACTGCCTGTAAATTGATATCGATAAGATTACATCAAATAAACAGAGAGCTGATATGCATTATTTTCCATCATGTGTATGTGTCATAAACACCCCCTCCTGATGTTCACAAACTAAATTGAGGGCATCCTTATAATACCCGAAAGGCGGCTTTCTTTCAGCAATGTTTATTAGACCGCAATTCGGGACGGTAAATCAAGCCCGGGCAATTGTCACGTTTACGGTCGGGGTCCAGCGACGGTCCTCGCCCAGGCAGCTCTCTTTATCCCATTAATGATTTGGAGGCTTTCCCTGACCGACCGGGCAGCTTATAAAGCTGACTCATCCCATGGCTATCGGAGGGGAGAGGTAGAAAGGCATCACTTCCAATAATTTTCCAGTTGACTGATTATTTCATTAGGTTGGATCCTGCCCATCTGATACCACGGGGACGTTGGATGATGGGAGGGGCATTTACACTACAAGCATAAACCATCGGTTTTTCTTTAATTCCTGAGTTTTGTCAGAAGTTGCTAGGCTACACCCATAAACAACAAAAAACCTGAATAAAAAAAACCCACCTCTGGATTTTTTAATAAATTCAGCCTTTTTTGTAGTGTAAATGCTCACTCTCAAAACGCTTGTAAATTATTGAATTATTCCAGTTTTTGCTCACATTGCTCTAATGGATGCAGAGTAGTGACAAATCGAGCATGCGCACAACTCAACAAACAAGCAGAATTAGCAAACACTACAGTTTTCTTGGTTTTTTCCAGTAGTGTGAATGATAGTTCACAAAACCGATGGTTTTTCAATTTTTCATTTTTTTTTTCAATGTAAATGGGCCTTGTGTTGGATCCTACCCTTCTATTAACACTGGATGATAGGTATGAGATTGGAAGGGTAAACAGTGAATACAAAGAGACCTGCAGGCCCGAGCTGAGAAGAGTTCACAGCTCTAGAGATGCTGTCTGTCTGTCTGTCTCTCAGGTCCTGTACTTTGTCATGGTTGTCAGGATGGGTTGCGGATCAGGAGAGTGACATTTGTGTTTAGCCTTTAATATTACTTGTCTTTCTCGATGACATCAAGAATTTCAAGATACATTTTTTGCTGGAGTAGTAACATGTGAGTAGCTCATTGTAACTAGTTCCTTGTAAAGTAGACGTACTGTTTGTAGCCATAAATGTATGTATACAGACCTCTTTTATTTGTAAATACATTTTTAGGAAACACTGACATTTTAAATTTAAAATAGAATTTCAGGTTTGCGTAGCAGTTGCCTTATAACAAGCACATCAATTTTTTTCTTTTTTGAGGGAGGGGAGGGGGAACTTTGGAAAGTGATGTGTACTTGTGTATCTCTCTCCTTTTCCTTTCTACTTTCATATATTATGTTTTTGTTGTGTTTTTATGAGGGGGGGGGGGGTTCTAAAGGGGTAGGTAACTAGTATGCATATATATTAAACCTTTTTCATAAACTCCCAAAAGCATATACACTGTATTAAACAGGAGCAGAATAGGATCATAATGGGATACGAAAGGACTCAAAACAATGGCATTTAATTATTTTAATGCTGTATTTTTGTGTAATTTGCAAATGCTAAGTTTATGATAGCGATTAACGCGGACCCTAACATTATCCCACCCATCCACATACATGATGGTCATTTCGACCATGAATGTGTTCACATCACATCCAGGTAAATAGCAATTGAATGCATACATGACATGGAATGGGACAGGTATGCATTATGAACGCACCCAGAATCATTGGAGCTTCCTACCTCTAAGGACCATGCGTCAACTCCAATCATTGATCGATCGATGCTGTAAAGGACTGGAAAAACTAAGCAGTTTAGGATGTGTGTTCAGCTTTGGACAGCTGCATGTGTGCAGTTCTTGTCGGGTCTGGGATGAAAATCCATTTTGAGCTCCTGCAAGGCAGGCGCAAGGGAAAGGTGAATCTTCAATATTACTACATGTATGTCTTTTTAGCAACTTTTCCTTCAATATTGCTTTTAGGTTTGTGCATGCTTTCGCCACTGAAGGTGATGCTAGAAGCATTATTATAATGTATGGTTTGTCAGTCTATCCATTTATCCTGCTCATCTCTTTGTCATGGAACACTGTTCAAGAAATGTTCAAGAGATGATAATTAATAAAGGGAGGGGACAGAGAGAGGGTGAGGAGGGAAGGGAGGGGGTGGAGGGAGGGGGTGGATGGAGGGGGCGGAAGGGAAGGAGGATGGAGGGGGGCAGAGGGATGGGGTAGAAGGGAATGAGGAATCAGGGGGCAGGGGCAGAAGAAGGGAGAGAGAGAGAGAGAGGGAGAGAGAGAGAGAGCGAGAGAAGGGGGGAGAGAGAGAGAGAGAGAGAGGGAAAAGAGAGAAAAAAAGAAAGAGACAAATCTTATATTAAAATCAAAAACAGAGAGATTAAGAGAGAGAAAGCAACAGGTCACTAAAGAGGCATTTGAGGTGTTTTCTAATAAAATCTGAAGGTGAGAAGTCACTCAGAGGAAGAAGGATTTACATCTCTTGACCGTGCTTCATATTGATCTAGTATTGCGTGTCATCTCTACAGCATGTCCATGGTTATGATGTTATGATTGACACCTGGCTGCCTTGAGGGATCATCTTGGATCTGGGGAACCAGGGGCTGTAAAGAAAGGCGTTAACCATATCAAGGGATTGCAAGGATTGGTCAGGGTTATTGCCTTTTGAGGAGGTAACAATGTTCCTATTGAAATCTTTGTCCAATTAGATGCATGTTTTGGTAGGCCTTTGTCATAAGATCAATTTCAATCTTGACAAATCAAAGACATTATTGTCTTGGGGAATAATAGCACTGAATTAATACACTGAATCGATTAAATATTTATTGGAATCTAGCTTCTTAGTTTTAGTAAATTATAATGTGCCATTGGCTGCAGTACAGATACTGTAAAAATCAGTGGACCTGCAGGTTCAATAGGGAAAGAAAGGTGTGTGAACATATTGATACAATGCAGAAGTACGGTCAAGGGCCATATCTTCCACAATTGGATTGCATTGCACCTATTTTTGTCTCGCCTGCGTAGCAAAAAGCGAGACATAGGCGCCGCTTTTCCGGTGACGGCGGCGGCGACGGCGACGGCGACGGCGTCAACATCAAAAACTTAACCTAAGGTTAAGTTTATGAATTTTTGGTATAATTTTTAAAGTATAAGTTCTTAGTCAATGAAACTTTGACTATAGGGTAATCAAGTATCCCCAATTATGTGAGTAGAATTTCAGATCACAAAGTCAAGGTCAAAGGTCATTTCAGGTCAACAGACTTGGACTATGTTGTAGCATCATCATCGAAAACTTAACCTAAGGTTAAGTTTTTGAATTTTTGATATAATTTTGAAAGTATAAGTTCTTAGTCAATGAAACTTGGACTATAGGGTTATCAAGTCTCCCCAATCATGTGAGTAGAATTTCAGGTCACTAAGTTAAGGTTAAAGGCCATTTAAGGTCAACAAACTTAGACTTTGTTGTGGCATCAACATTAAGATTTTCAAAATGCTTCTTCTTTGTTATTTTTCAACCGATTTTGATTCTGATTGTTTCATATGATAGGGCTAGGAGGGGATTTCAAATTTCTACACAGAATCGTGAAATTCATTATCTATGCTAATTTATGCAAATTTATTCGAAATCACAAAAAAGGCTTCTTCTCCTTCATTTCTCGACCGATTTTGATTTGGTTTGCTTTATATCGTAGAGCTAACTTTGGTACACTAAACTTCTACACAGAATTGTGAGATTTTGCTCCATTGATTATTTATGGTACTTTATGCAAATGAAATGAAATTATGTACCTTCCAGGGCATCAAATTTCTATTTTTTGACCAGTTCAAAAGTGTACCACATAAAATTTACGATATTTGTTGTTGTGAGATGCGGATGAGCGCTACGTCATTGACGTTCTGGTTTATCATATTGAATTGCGTTATGCAGGCGAGACCGCCGAGAGCGTTTCCCTTGTTATTTTTAGCCATTACCTTATTTTTGAAAGCTACATGTACATGTACATACTGAAATATGATAGGCATAATACATGTAGTTGATCATATGAATACATTTGTTTGTGTATATATGGCTGTACTTCTGTTGTGAAAACAGTACTTTGTAAGGGTTTAGAAACTTTAGAGCATTAGGATGAATAGAAAAGTAGTACTAAAACTCCCATCTGCTTTTACAGTAGATTTAACAAGAGAGTTCAAAGGAATACAATGAATGATTCAACCGTTTGGACATATCATTGAAGAATACCGTCAGTTTAAAGGCAACAGGGGAATAAAGAGAAGAAAAAAAGTGGATAATAGAATGATCTTGTATATAAATGGTTGAGATGTAGTAGGAGTGGCAAATACAAATGTACATGTTTGGAATGTATGTAATGTATGTAATACAAAACTCAATGTTAAGAAATAGGTGAGTAAGCTACATGTATTTTAGGTAAACCATGTGAATCGAAATCACTTCCATTCTGGAGAGTTGATTTATATGTCTTGGCCTATAAACAGTCTACCATGCAGTGATGCTTGGTTTACTTTAAATGTTTCTATGCCGTTTTCTGTCAGGAGAGACAATTAGAAGGAGAGACAAGATTGTTCAAACAAGATGTCATGGTTATGGTGACTCACCATTATTTACAACATGGTTCAAGAGTGTCCAAAATAAGAAGAAACGTTGAGCCAATTAAAATCCACATCTGACATTTATCTCTCTCTGAAGCAACCTTTCAGAGAAATATTGCGGTACATTTTCTCCGTGCGCAGAAACGCAGAAATTTGTTTGATGGAACGGAACAGGTTAAAGGGCCGTATATCTTAAGAAGGGATGACTCAAAGGCAATTGAGTGGGCTCTGTAGGGATTTATGGGATTATCACTCAGATTAGCTCTTTGCAAGAAATGTCTTGATGAAGAGAAGCTTGTGCTGAAGAGGGTATACTAATAGGATGAAAGGGGATTCTTGCTTATCATGAAGATGAGCTCCTGCATAAGAAATTGGTTTATGGGAACAGGTTCAGGCTGTACTGAATGGAAGAGCATGAAAAAATGGGTTGGGAGAGGGGGGGGGGGGGCCTTTTCATAGCTGTATGAATTTGAGATGAGATCCTGCATAAGAAGTGTCTTGATGAGGACAGGCTTGTACTGAAGAGGGTATACTAATAGGATGGAAGGGGCTTCTTTATTATCATGAAGATGAGCTCCCGCATAAAAATTGGTTTATGAGGACAGGGTGCAGGTTGTACTGAATGGAAGAGGATGGACAAATGGGTTGGGGATCTTTTCATAGCTGTATGAACTTGAGATGAGCTATTTGATAGGGACAGCTTTGTATTGAAGAGGGTATACTAATAGGATAGAAGGGGCTTCTTACCAAAGTCATTATTACCACAGAGATGCGCAGCTCCTTGCTTGAAATAAATTATGTTTATGGGGACTAAGCTGTACTGAAGTGGGATAGAAGGAGGGGGGGGGGGCGGGGGGCTTTGCCTTAGCCACGTTATTGACGAGATGAGCTCCCCTCAAGATATGGATGTATGGGGATAAGGTTGTACCATGGTTGTATTGGAACTGATGGATTATTAGAAAAGAAGAGAGAAAGGTGGGGGGGGGGGTGGGTCTACTTAAGTTGGTCTACTTACCACCAACTTATGTTATTGCTGAGATGAGCTTACCACTAGAGATTTCTCTTATTTTAAAAATATTTTTATGTTTTTTTTAAAAATTTGTTTATTTGTTTATTTATTTTATTTTCTTCATTTATTTGTTTATTTATTTATTTATTATTATTATTATTTTATTTATTTATTTATTTTTTTTTTTTTTTTGGGGGGGCTCTTTTTTACTGTAACCTTATCATCACAAAGCGCCCCACTAAAAGCAGTTCGAAGGGGGCAAGGCTCTCTTTGCTACAACAGCATAATGGGATTAGAGAATGCTGCTTCCACAGAGGTACCATTACTGAGACGAGTCTGTACCCAAGAAATGACTTACATGTATGAGGACACAGTTGCACTGGAAAAAAAATAATTAGAAGGGGGTCATTACAGTAGCCAGATTAGTTGAGAGGATCTCCTTGTCAGAAAAGACATAAGATTATCTACCCCCAGGCCCCAGTTAGAGCATGTATGATGCATGTACATGAAGAGAACAGGGTAATAGAGATTAGAGTAGATTAATGGGATGGATCATTGGGGGGCCATTTCCATTGCCAGATCATCACTGAAATTAGCCCTTAGCACGAAATGGCGTGATGTGAACAAGGTTATTAGGATGAGTGTATAGTTATGGGATTAAAGAATAGTTCACTTCTTCTTTTTTTTTGGAGATAGATGGGGTCGGGGGGGGGGGGGAGGCCGTTTCCATTACCAATTTTTGTTTCTCTTTCTTGTTTGACAGGATTATGTATTTATATGGTTAGAATATCATTGCTTATTCATAAACATGAATTAATATGAATGCTGAAGGACTGACAATGACAAATTGAGGTTTCCTGGTATGGTCAGATAATACATGAAGGAAAATGAAAGTGATAAGTTTGAAGTACATTTATGTATTGTAACTTGTAAGCCACTTATTAATGAATGACAAGGAGAGAGGATGAAAGATATAAACAGAGGGGGTATGGGAGAAAAGGAAAGATGAGAGGACAATGAAGATGAATCAAGAAGAAGATGATGACATGAGAATGAAGATGAAATGATAGCAAGAAGAGAAAACAAATGGAGTATGAAGTAGATGAAAATAGAGCCATGAAGAGTGCACATTCTCCATACTGTTTTTCTCACATTACAGTTGATAATCTGCTTGTGTCTGAATTGTCTGGAAAACAAGTCCAATTACCATCTTTAGTTTCAGAACTTTCAGGATTGTTATAATGAAAGCAGATTACATGAGCAGAGTATTAATGTACATTCATGTCTGTATTGTCAGAGATTGCTGAGATAGATTACATTTATCTAAAAAGTCATCAAATTCCATGAATTCATACTTTTGGTCCATCATCACACAGTACTACCGGTACATTAAATTTATATTTGTGATGTATTTTGACTATTTTCCACATTGAGAAAATAATATCTGTATTTTTTCCACCGCACTGCATGCAATTTAATCACTGGGTATTTTTTCTTTCTTCACTTTCCCATGGGTTAGACTCTGTGCTCATTGTAAATCTATTATAAAAAGCAAATATGCATGCACAAGTAATATTTGTAGAAGAAAATATTCCAAGATAGAACAACAAACAAGAAATTTATCTTTTCCTGTGTCTTTGTTTCTCTTCTAAATTGTGCAGGTTCTAGGTCACACTTCAAGACTTCACACAGGTCATTGGCAATATTCATAGCTTCATACTGAAGAAAATTCTCCAGAGCCACATTGTAAGTATACAGTGTAGATGCATATTCTATTTCAATCATAGTCTTTTCTATTCTGTGCATATTTGTCATCTTTTTATTCAAGTTTGTCGATTACAAATCCTACACCTTTACCTGAGAGAGCAAAATATATAGCACAAATTCATGCCAGGTGCCAGATGTGATGAAATGTAAACTGCAAGTTTTTGCATGATATGATGGTAGCTGTGGTTCATGTACCACAAGGAATCTAGTTCACCTTCCCAAGAACGACTCTCTGAAGTTCACATTCTGGCAAAGTCAGAGCTCAATTTACACCCAAACTGCTAGCAGGTATCGTCAAGTTTGTTTGCCGGTTTCTCTTTCGAAGGCTTTCATCGATATCTTCCCCTTGCATGTTGCTCGCAAACCTCAAGCACATTTGAGATTATAATCATCTAAGGAACTCCTTTCCTATTCCCCTTCAAATAATCTCCTTTTCCTAGTCTATATCAATTGAAGGATAATACAGTACTCTATTGCCTTTCTAACCAGCGGCCATCATTGAATAAGTTGGGTATTTTCTATGGAGATTTGTTTGGGTTTGGGATTTTAAAATCTTAACAGCACCCTACCTAATTCAAAGAGTTTTCTCATGTGAATAAAAGCCCCCTGCTGGTGGCTATTTTTCTCTGCTGAGCAGCATCTAAAATGTCCCAAAGAGGCAGTATGAGCACTGCTTCAAAGTAATATTGAGAACCTGTGCAAGGTTTTTTAATGCAAACATACAAGTACAATCCTTAAATACAATTTGTGTAGGAATATTCATTTTCTTTCTACAATGTATTCAATCTTTTGTTTAAAACTTCAAGCAATATATCGGCCAGATTTAAAAGTAATGGCTTCGCTTTATCCTACTTGTTCAACTTGTCCACTTGGCCTCAGATTTTGTAGCTGACAAATCAAGAAATTGTTCCATCAAAATGGATATATATATATATATATGATGCAAAAAAAATGAAGGGATGTTGTGCATATCGAGCAAGAAAGGTATGGCCATCAAACAGGAATGGAGTGTGGCCGTTGAACAGGAATGGGGTGTGTCCGTTGAACAGGACTGGGGGTAGGTGATCCAACAGGAATGGGGTTGGTGATCCAACAGGAATGGGGGTGTGGCCATTAAACATGACTGGGGTGGGCCATAAAACGGGAATAGGGTGTGGCTATTGAACAGCAATAGGGGTGTGTCTATTGAACAAGACAAAGTTGTGTTCATTATTACAGGAGAGACATGAGTTTAATCATTGAAGAAGAAAGAAAATGCAGCCATTGGACTGGAAAGTAGGTGTGGCCATTGAACAAAAGAGAATTGGTAACCATTTTATTAGTTTTAAGGTTTATAGTGACAATTGTCTAGAAAAGCAGGTTTCTTATTCCTTAGACAAAGAAATAGGAAAGGCTGTTAAACAGGAAATGGGAATGGTCACTTGTACATGAAACATGATATGAGCATCGATTTATTTAATTAGTATGATTAAACCCGTAAGGTATCTGTATCGACAAGCCTATGAAGGTTTTCTACTCGAATGTGTACACATTTTTTTTGTACCGTCTTAGATTTCCTGAAGTCATTTAGGGCCTCCGTCAATGATCCATGAAGTAATTTGTCCCTTGGAAATTAGGTCCCATAAAAAATCTAATGTAATATATTCTCATCAGCTATGTGTACATCTACATGTCCTGTATACACGTATAGCTGTTTTTGCATTTCAGATTAAAAGCAGGGGGAGGGGGTTTAATCCTCATTTGCCTATATAATATACAAGTAGATCAGTTTAATTCCATGGGCAGCAAGAAGGTAACAAAACAAAAAAGTTAATGCAATGATTTTCAAAAATGCTTGTCTTTCACATTCTTCATCCATGTTTTGTTAATCACAAAATAAAATTATTTTCAACAAACAAAAACAAAAGGTATTCATGATGCACCTCCATCACTTCAGCAGTGATTATTCTAAAATGCACAAGTGGGACGTATCCATCGTGTAAAATATCTGTGGACATTTTTGGGTCATGTGTACCGAAGCTATTTACAAACTGGCTTATTAGGGTAAGAATCAGAGCTAAAATTTAGCGAATCACATCACATTTACAACCACACTCTATGTGGATGAAGCGTTTAAAGCTGCAAGGAATTCAATCATCTAAACCCTAATCAAGCTAGCTGAGATTGAACCCCTTCGTAATAAACGCTGCTTATGCTGCTATTCAGGCAAATGCCAAATTCCATCAAGCTTAATATTTGTGTCTAGAGCGTGGAATATTAGTTTGCCCCAACTTCAGCTTGAGTGCTTTCCCCCTCTAGCCTCTCCCAGCTATATTTGCATTCAGTATCCATCAATTTTTTCTCTCTCTTCCTTCCTCTCCCTCTCTCTCTCATCCCCTCTCTCTCTCTCTCTCTCATCCTCTCTCTCTCTCTGTCTCTGTCTCTCTCTCTCTCTCTCTTTCTCATATTTTGCTATTAACCAGATTTTTCTTATCCCTGCACACATTAACCTCTAGAGCTAGTTTGCATGCACGAACCTTTGTCAGTCGTGCGTAAAAGTGTCTGGACTCAGAGACTAGGCATACAACATACTGCATACATATAGTTGAAATAGTTGAAATAGTTGAAATATTTATTGGTTACTGAATCATCATAGGTTATAACAATAATGTGACAATGTCTTTACATGAGTATAAAACATAAGTTAAATTACATTTCCACATTCAGTAAATCATAGATACATACGCTCGAAGAGGTGATGATACAGAAGGGCTACAGCCTAAGCGTGACAGCTTGATACGCTTGCAGCCCAGAAACATTTAAAATCATAACGATTGTAAAGTAAAGTAAATTACAGTACATAATTGGGGGAAAATAACAAAAAATAAACAGTGACTTGCAACCAAAAAAAAAAAAAATGGGATAGAGGGTGCATGGGAGGGGGATTTTCCTGCTATATCAAGGAAATGCTGACAAACATATATGATATCATGTGTTAATGTAAGAGATTTGTCAATATTTGCTCAATAAAATTGATTTCACACTTTTCTTGAAAGTATATACTGACTTCAAGTTACGGATGTCAACGGACAGTGAGTTCCAAATATCCGGACCAGAATGTCTTATAGATTTCATAGCCATTGTTGTTTTAGGATTACATAAATGGTATTTATTTGATTGTCTGGTTGGGTATGTATGAATATTTCTATTCAAACAAAACATTGGTGGGAAGTGGGAAGGTAGGGAATCATTATGTAGACGGAACATGAACAGTGCTTTTTGTAAAAAGTTAATATCAGTTACTTTCAGAGTTTTTAACCTCCCGAATAGGGGATCAGTGTGATCGCGATATCCAGCATTGGTACACACACGAATCGCTTTCTTTTGTAAAAGTAGCATTTTATCAGTATATACTTTTGAGTCTGCCCACAGTATATTGCAATAAGACATGTAAGGAAGAATCAAGGAATTGTATAGCATATATAGAATATTCAAAGGCACATAATGTTTTAACTTATACAGTAAACCAACAGTGCGTGACACTCTCTTTGAAACGTAATGTACATGATCACTCCATTTCAGATTTTCATTGATGATAGTTCCAAGAAATTTAGTATTTTGTTTTTTCTCCAAATATTCACCATCCAAGACTATTTTCAGGTATAGGTTTATCAGTTGCATTTTTCCTGCTTTGAAAATGAATATAATTAGTTTTTTTCAGATTCAGAGACAATTTGTTGCTCCTAAACCACAAAGACAGCTTAGGTAGCTCGGTGTTCAGAATTCTCTGAAGTGATCGAAAATCGGAATTGGAGCAAAACACATTAGTATCATCAGCAAATATAATATATTGTAATGATGTAGTTGAGTTCGAGATATCATTAACATACAGTAGAAATAATAAAGGACCGAGTATCGATCCTTGTGGGACACCACATTTCATAGGCAATAATGATGAATCTACAGATTCGTAGCTTACATATTGCTTTCTACCTGACAAATAATCATTAAACCAGTCAAGAGCAACTCCTCTTACTCCGTAATAATGAAGTTTGCTTGATAGTACCTTGTGATCAAGAGTGTCAAATGCTTTGCTTAAGTCCATGAATACACCAATAACATGCTTTCGAGACGCCAAAGCATTCGAAACCTTATCATATAATTGTGCAAGGGCTAAATCGGTTGAGTGGTATTTCCTGAAACCATATTGATCCTGATTCAGTAAGTCATTTTCTGTTAGAAAACAATATAGCCTATTGTACATAAGTCTTTCCAATACTTTGGACAAACTCGAGAGAATAGAAACAGGGCGATAGTTTGAGACTTGGCTCTATAGGCTCTATAGGCTCTATAGGCTCTATACTTTAGCTGCTTCATTGACACAGCCAGAGACTGTCAAAGCTAGGCTCTGCGCAAGGCTTTAGGAACTATGGTAGTGTCAAACTAGAGTCTGTGCTTGTAGACTACTCAGGAGCCTAGGTCATATTTAGTGCTGTTGTCACATCTTATTTCGGCGATGCCCCGGAGATACGAAATTTATCGCAGCACATTGAGAGAGATGAATGGTGGCGAAAAACGATGTAGGTATTAATTAAAGTTGTGCATAAAAATGAGTTTGTAATAAGTGTGTGAGGGGAATGGTTGGTGTAGGTGGATGATAGCTTGAAGGAACCTTTATTTATAATTAGGAAAAAAGATAAAGGGGGGAGGGGGTGGGGTGTCAAGTGATGAGAAGCTAAATAATGAAAGGGATCTTTTCCTTCTGCAGCACCCCATTTCCTGAGACTCATCAACCCTGTTCTTCGGCAGAGCCACTGCCCAGGGTTAGAACGATCTTTGTTTTTCATTACCACTCACCCCACCCCCAGGGGAAGACTTTAACCCTCCCTTCCCTCGGTTCTCTCATTGTTTGTTAGATATGAGCGTTTGTCATCTCTATGGAGTATGGAGATTGGCATTGTGAACGTGACAGAATCAGATTTAATTTGAAGGAGATGAGA